CTTGTCGTGAAGCAGGTCAACAGAAACTCCCCTGGAAGTGCCTCTTTCTGTCCACCCACTATAGTGTGAATCTGGATAACTGCCTCCGATGAAGAAGTCTGCTCTGTAGACACCTAGGAGACAATTTAATTGCCCACACACTGGTGCCTAAGACCATTTGAGATCCCCTGCATTATTCAGTGTGAGCTGCTCCAGAAGGGTAGTTTCTCACAGCTCTTGTATCCTATATGCCACCCCTGTGATGGTGACTGAGTTACAGGTGACTGAGCTACAGTATCTTCAATGGACTATTTGTCTGTGCTGATGCACCAGAATGAAGTCCATATGGTGGACATCTACATCTAGGCACCTACATATAAGCTGGGCATCTCAGCTCTGAAATAGCCAGTGGAGATTCGGCACTCAATCCATTTGCTCTTACAAAGGTGATTTGAGATGCCTGAGAGTATCCAAAACATCTGCACAGGACTGCCAGATCTGATACAGGAGGTATGGGAGACCCATGTGCTCCTGGAGTGGTCCCTGAAAGCTGAGCAGGATACCCTGTGGCATCTCAAACGACATTATATGCCGATGTGCAAGCAACTACAGTGAGACCCCAGGCAATCCAGCCAACCACACCTGGGAGCATTTCAGTGCACACAGAAATAGGCACCTGCATCCAATCAGCTGAGCCAGTCCTTCTGACTTTTTGGCTGTTTGGGAGCTGAGACACCCAGCTCACATTTAGGTAACAACCGTCAGACATCTAAATTTAGGTGCCTCTATCTGCAGATTGCATCCCATTCCTAAATCGAGGTGACAGTCCTCTCACCTTTCTGGTGTGATCGTCATGCTGTTTGTATTCACCCATGTAGACTAGCGATTCTTCTCCACCCTTCAGCATAGCATGAAGGCCATGGGCACCATTTCTCAGCCTACCTACCATGAGTCAGCAGCACTTGGGGTACTAAGTCACTTGGGATGTTTTTTTAAATTGTAGCCCCATTTATTAGCCTTTTGAAAGTACACGGTGTGTTTGATGACTGACTCTCAAGGATTTTTCAGGCATTCTGAAAAATCTCAGTTACTTTTCTTATCTTTTCTTCTTTTTTCTCCCACAAACCTGATATAATTTGACACACTGCCTTCCATGGGGTTTTGTGTGTCTGTGTAAATGTAGGGAAGTAGCTGGCAGTCCATAATGTGCTCTGACAAGATGCAAATGGGCTGGCGGTGACCAGTGACCTCTGAAAGCTTCTTGGGATGTCTTCCTAGACAATTTGGATCCCACTGAGCTGGTGCTAAACTCCTCTCCATCACACCTTCTTTCCTCCTCTCATTTTTCACAGCTGCCTCCTTCTTGGCTGGCTCACTAAGCCTGGGACCTACTTTAAAGTTAAGATTAATTTCATGTAAAGAAACCCATGGGCAGTCAGACCGCAGCACAGGCATGCACAGCTGCTCCCCCAGTTTGGGGAAGGAGCACAACCTCCATGGGGTGGGAGGGATTTCCAGGTTTCAGGGCTGTGTGTAGGGACCAAGTGCTCGGTGTGGATAGGCCCTGATGTCAATTCCTTAATCAGAATAATAAAATGCTCCCAGTGAGTAATATTTAAAATAACAGATGAAGTCATGAAGACGTTGGAGATACCCGGGGCTTTGGATGGGATTGCGCCGATAGGTGTGTCAGGCCAGAGGCACAATGTAGAGCAAGGTGGAATTTGTCATTGCCTTCATTCATTAACCATTTGGGCCAGCAATTTGGACAAAATGACTCAGCGTTCACAAGCAGACAGAACTGCGCCTTCAGAGAGCAGGGCTGGGCTGAGCAAGACACCAGGAAAGGCAAACTGCCCTTTCCAGGAAAGGAGCCCGTGGCTCTCACTGGCAGAGGTGGAAGGGATGAGCGGAGCAGACGTGTCCCCGCGCACAGACGCAGCGCTCAGCAAGCGCCCTGAGGAAACTGTCTCTGGAGCCAGGCTTGCAGCCACTCTCCCGCCAGGTGCTGTGGGACCATTTGCATCCCACAACCTCCTCGTCTTCCACCTTGCAAGCAGTTATCTGGCAAGAAAGCATGCAAAGAGACAAAAGGCTTGGAGCAGGGAGGAGACGCACTGCTATTCATAGCTACGGTCCCCACCCACGGGTGCCAGGAGTCAGACAGGGGAGCACCTTATCAGGTGCTTGGCTGAGCAGCATTCAATCCCGTCCCAGGGCTGGGACAGGCAGCGGCTCCATCTCCACCCCGATGCAGGGGTGAGTGCCCCACTGACGTCAGGAGGCCTTACTTCATTTCCTGGCACGGGGACCGTATTTTCATAGCCGTGTCCTGTCGGAGAGGAGAGGCTGTGGAACTGGAATAGGCGTGCTCAGCCACACCTCCTCAGCCCTCCAGCTGTTAAAGCTCCCAAGGACTGCGAGCGCGGGGCTGCTGCTTGGCTGGGGTTAACAAGAGCGGAGGTGACTGTGTTACTGGTGCACTGGGAAGTTGCCTTTTCTAGCCGGAGCCTCCCTGTTGCCTTCTTCGGGCAGGACCCAGAAAGGTAATTCAAGGCAATGTCCTACAGGATCCAGGGCGGACCTGCCTTCTGCGGCTGGGGCGGGACGGCGTGCAGGACCGTGGCTCTGGGAGGTGGGAGAGCAGGGGCGTGGGGTGCCACAGCAAACAGAGACTGCCTCCCACCCTTGACCCTAACATGGGATTGCCAGCTGGAGCTGGGGGAGATATGGCAGACTTTCCTGAGAAATGATTTGAAATTTGTGGCTGGATGGGTGTATTTTATGCACAAGTGTCAATGAGAGAGGAGGCTCAGGCTGGAGGGAGAAGACTCAGCACTACAGCGAGAACCATGATTTGGGGTGAGCCGTGAAGTGGACCCAGCAGTAGTGAAGTGACTGCAGCACAGGCTCCCTTGCACAAACTGCAGAGCCCCTTGGAAATCCCAGATGCTTGTGTAGGTGCCGGATGAGCAGACTTGGCTTCTGGGGGGCAACACTCACCCAGGAGACAGGGCAGAGGCTCTTCATGCCTCACAGGACATCTACCCTGGAAAAAAAAGAAAAGGGCATAAAAATCAGCAGAAATGGCCCAGTTCTCCAAGGTGGCGAGGTTCTTTCCATCCTATTTGTTCCGAGGGCAGTGGCAGCCAACTGTGTGGCAAGTACCACTTGCAGTAAGCACCAGTCAGGACCCAAAGCTATGGGTGTGCTCTGTGCTGCCCTGGGGTCTCACGCTGGCTCTCTGGGCTCTTCACCGGCCCCGACAGCAGGCATTGGTTTCTATCTGCCAGAGCTATGAATAGATAAGCTTATCTGATCAACAGTAGATTTCTGTGGTTAAAATTTTAACATTTTCTCTCCAGATTTTCAGAAAGGTTTGTTATTTATTATTCACAAATGTCCAGATAACTCTCAGCTATTTGTGCAAGAGATCATAAATCCCCCAAATTTTGTGAATGATGATTTGTGAAAACTCCCGCGTGCGTTATTCACCAATTCCATTCTCTTCATGAAAGTCCAAAGTTCCTGCATATTTTCATAATTTGCATTTTATTGTAGCCAGCTTTTTGAAGAGCTGCACATCTCCTTTTACACAGTGATGTTAAAAGCTGGAAAAAATACATTTATAAGCAGGTCACATTGAGGCATATGTGGGGCTGAGAGTGAGTCAGTGATATTTTCTCCCTTTGTTCATCCTTCGATTAGATCAACTGCCATTTATTGAAGACTCAACCTCCCCTCCCTAAAATCTATTGGAAGGGTTTTAGAACCAGCCTCATAACTGCAGTGTGTTGTTCTGGAGGGGGAAAATGAAGGCAAATGGCATAGTGAGCACTAAACACTAAATTTTGCAAAATGAACTTTTTTCTTTATATCTCAGAAAAGAAAGCCCTTGGTTTTCCAGTGTGGTTCACCATTAAGGCCAGATTCCCCCCATGTTTCATGCTGATATTGTATCCAAATTCCTGTTTCGATAGATTTTAGAGACCTGAGTCTAACTGAGCAATTTGGTACCTAGAAAGCAGTACCTGGCCCCTGGGATCTAAACTCACTCAGTGCCTGCATAATGGACCATGAAGTGCCCAACATCCTCATGCAGTGGTTTCTGCACATGCTTCAGGCTCCCAAGGAAGTAGGCAACTTAATTCCCCTTGGCGATGGGCAGAGCTCACCTAAACAGCCCTTTTATCCCCTGGCGAGACAGGCTTAAACCAGGCTTACTCAGCACCGAACTCCTCATGACGAGATGGCAGGAATGTGCTGGGTGCATTAGAGACCTTGTCCATCCTTGTCTCGTGGACTCCTCAAGCAGTAACTTGGTGGTCACTTCTCATGCAATGAACAGCATTAGCTCTGACATGTCAGGCCTCCAGCCAGTGCAAGGCAGTATCTTGGGGAGGGGACCGAGGTCTTTGAGACAGTTCTTATTGCCACGCTGCCATGAAGAAGAAGGAATATGAGTCTGGGGCTCGTAGTTGGTGGCTTCTCTTTGCTATTTAATTTGGAGTGAGAAGAACTATGCTGGAGGCATCCAGGTTAGTTATCTGCAGGGTAGAAGGCAGTTAAAGTCCCCCTTCATTCATATCCGTAAACCAAGGCCAAGAGTGTTTCAGAGAAAGTAAGAGAGGGAAAAGAAACTGAGTAATGAGTTTCCTGTTCTGTATTGCTCATCTCTGAACCTCACTGGTACAAGGTACTGATGTTGTTTGAACTTGTCAAAAGAGCGTAAGCTGTATTATGACTAACAGCTGCTCTTGTATCACAAAAGTGACAAGGCAGCTCAGTCTCTGTGCTGCAGGGCACCAAGCTAACGCCTGCGAAAGCGCCTCACCTTCTCCCTGCTCCCCACGCTCCCACGACATTGCACAACCCCAGGCATGGTGCAGAGGACATGTAGGGTGAATCGTCTCCTGTAAGGGGCTTGGTTTGCCCTTGACAGAGAGCCGATGCCACACAAGGGGATGGCTCTCCTCCCACAGCCCCATGTCCTTAGCACTGTGGTGTCCCTGCCCAGTGAGATGGGGATGAACGTCTGTCCTGCCTTTCCCCTCTGCTGGCAGCACCCAAGTGGTAGATACGACAGCCTGTGTCTTTTCTTCTTCTACAGCTTTGGGGAAACATTTCACGGGGAGGTTGTTCAAGAAAGCAAGATGACGGCGACGACGCCTCCCCCAGGCTGCGGCAGCCTCGATGCTGACTATTACCTGCTCTGTGACATGGAGAATGCCTGGGGGATTGTCCTGGAGTCTCTGGCTGCAGCTGGTGTCCTCGTCACCATTTTCCTTATCTGCTCGCTCTTCTTTCTCATCTGTAAAGTCCAAGACAGTAGCAAGCGGCACATGATCTCCATCTATTTCTTCTTTCTCTTAGGCACGCTCGGCATTTTTGGTCTCACTTTTGCCTTCATCATTAAACTCAATAACAGGACTCGCCCCACTCGCTTCTTCCTATTTGGAGTCATCTTTGCTCTCTGCTTCTCATGCCTCCTCACCCATGCCTGCAACCTCAACAAACTAGTGAGAGGAAGAAAACCCTTCTCCTGGCTGGTGTTGCTGCTCCTTATTGTTTCCTTTGCCCTTGTACAAGTTGTGATCAGCATTGAGTACTTAGTCACCATGCTAGTAAACCAGAAACAGAGATTTCTGAACATGTCTGCGGAGGAGACCAACAAGGACTTTGTCATGCTTTTGATCTACGTGCTCTTCTTGATGGCTCTGACCTTCTTGGTTTCCATGTTCACATTCTGTGGGTCATACAAAAGCTGGAAGAGGCATGGGGCGCACATCTTTGTCACTGTCCTGTTCTCCATTGCCATTTGGGTAGTGTGGATCACTATGCTCACAAAAGGCAAGACAGTTTTAAAGAAACCTAGCTGGGATGATCCTATCGTGGCCATTGCTCTGGTATCCAATGGATGGATCTTCCTGATAATGTATATTGTCCCTGAAATTTGTTTCCTCACCGCCCCTCTGAAGCTGGGGGACTACCCTCCAGAAAATGACTTCTGCCAACCCAGGTTCATGAAGCAGACAACTGGAGTGGACAACCGTGCCTACACCCAGGAAGAAATTGTGCAAGGTATGATGAAGTGAAGGACTCCACTATCCCTCAGCCCTAGCACACATGCAGCAGTCATGAGCTAAAAGGGGTAGGAGGGCCACAGAAAAAGATTAGAAGATGATGGATAATTTAGAGGTAGGAAAAAGTTTCAGACTGATGAAACTTCAGAAATGCAAGTGAAAATGAATCTCCAGACAAGAGGGAAAAGAGTAACGACCAATGCAAAAGCCAAAGACGTGTAGGAGGAGTGACTAAGTAGGAGACTTAGTGGGCGTCAGGGCTGAGACATAACTCCTTATGATTCTGTTATGTCTGGAAAGTCCGTGTAAAAATTCAGGAGTTTTTTGTTTGTCTCTTAGCAATGCTCCAGCTCTTCAGACCTCTATACCTTGGATATTATTTATTCCAGTTCTGATCTGGTTCCCATTATCTATTTAAAAATGAACCCATCATCCAAAAAGGAGACAAGGAGGTCTTACTTTTCTGTATGAGTCTCATGCCTACTTGGACAAAGCAAAATGTTTTACCAATTGAGGCTTCCCAAATCTATGGGTAGGAGATGTGACTGCACTCCCCGTGGATCTGCTACTGAGATCACATTTGTCCCCTGGAGTCAGACCTCCAGGTTTGTAAAAGAATAGCCGAGAAAGGCTGTGCTTTCCCAGGGAATACCGCAGAGGGGGTCTTGTGTGTGCAAGTGGGAGGGATTTGGCCAGTGATGATGACAGTAATTGTGAGGCAACAGGAGGTGTCTAAACTCCAAGGCCACCTATGCCCTGTTATTTACAATACCATTCATTCCTG